GTCATGTTGGAACAGAGTAACAAGCGTAAACTTTAGGGTTCTTGAAGTATACCTATTAAGTGAACTATAGTCGGGGTCATCCAATTGGTGTCCAATAGACTACCCTACACTGCTCATGGACCTCCATTGGACACCCAGACTGGACTTTCACATGCTTCTTCTCAAGTTCTACAAACAAACTTCACACAGACTCGTTTGAAGGACTGCGGCCGTGGTTTGGAGTGGTTTGGCGGGGCCGCTTTCCACCGTTTGCCTTGGTACACTGGTGGTTGCCCAAAGTGGAATAAACCAAATCACGGGACTTGGGGAGACCGGATAGATCTTGGCAGAAAATGTTGCGCCGCAAAGGCCAGGCATTTGTAGCCCAAAGAGCTACAGAAATGATGTGTGAGTCTCAATCCCTGAAAAGAATCTGAACAATCAAATTTAAATAACAGGTGAGGTGAATCACAGTGAGTTTGAATAAATGTAAGGCACAGCCAACACCCTGCTTCACCACCCTCCTGATCCGCGCTGCGCACCCTGCTCCGCCGAAACCCGGCGGTCGGTCGGTGCGGCTGACTGTGCCGCTGAGGCGCGATGAGATGTTCGAAGATGAGGCCCAGGTCGAAATCATCCATGTGCTGAGACCTCAAATCATCATGCAGTTTAGCAACAAGTTGACTCGGTCAAAGGCTGCTGTGGCCCACAGGTTTTGCTTTGGAGGTCAGAGTATAAGCTGGAAGGGAGGTTCAAATGTCCTTCTCGATCGACGGTATGAAATGTGAAAGGTCTAAAGATCAAACAAACTATCCAACATGTTCTAGTCATCCTCAGTCACACTTGATCTGTAATTCATGAAATGTGTACATACAAATTGCTCAGCTCAGCCATGATTCATCCCTATCCCAACAGGTTGCCTTTGACATACTGACCAGGACTGGCTATATTGGGGACCACAGAGGTTGCTTCATGGGCACGGAACTTGGTTGTCAGGAAATGCCGATCCTGATTGCCCATCATGAAGATGACCCATCTCCTAACACTGATGGTTTTGAAACATGGACCTTTTAAACATTTGGAAGCTGTTCTTCCAAGTGCCTGCCGTGACGATCTCATCCCCATCATATAGGCGTCACATCGAGGGCAAATATATCCTATAAAGAGGTTTCGATTCGGCTCATGATTTAGTTGTAGGTGACACTCCCGGTTTCTTTAGAAGCTGGCTTTCCTACGACAAGGGTTTTCCCACTTCCATGATTGTTCCTGAGTCTATGTCTTCTTTCTCTGGTGAGTCACCCGCTTTCAAAAAAGCACTTCCTCACCTTGTTTGGGAGAACACGCTGTGAAATCATGACCATATTCTCCAGGGATCATCAAATTATCGTTAGCGAGTTGACTGGATAGCAAAGTCAACCTTTAAGCTCAAGCATCAAAGTCCCAAGGACAAAAGGAGGACCCTGTTCCAATCGAATCTGGGTTTTCCAGTAAGGAATGGTCCACTTCCACTGCCTGGTGTTCCAACCCAAACAAAGCCTCGACGTCCACGGGTCCGACACGCGAACCGTGGGGAGGTCCTCCAGAGCCTTTGAATTCAATGTTCAGGTCGTCCAAATGTACAAAATTCCACAATTACATACAATTGCCCTAACCTTAAAACTAATGGTTGTTGGAATCCCGGAAAATTACAAACACAGTGCTGCTCTTCCTAAAACAATGAGCGTTGGAATCCCAGGGATTACGCATGATGTACATATTGCTGTTCAGTGGTATAGAGGACATCCTTGATGTCAACAAACCCGCTCGCTTCAGTCCCACGTCGACCAGCCACACGGGGCTGTCCGTTGGTCCTCCCTTCCTGAGCGCGAACCGATGAGCGTTGAATTCCGGGTCTCGCGTCTCGGTCCCACATGGACATGCAAACATGGACCAGCTCTGCTTTGAAGGACTCGCCATGGCTGCATGGTGTTCTTTTTGTTGATTGTTTTCCGAAAAAGAGAAACAAAAGAACCCTAGAGAACCTCACCTCTCCTGCTCTGGTACCAGAGCATCCATCAATCTTTTGTTTGGGTTTCTCTGGCGTCGGCAGCATCGCCTGGTGATCATGAGGTTTCAATTCTTGCCCCCCTCCGACTCCCACCTCCACAAGCATCTCCGAACCATGCCAATTCTATATGGTGGTTGGGCATAAGCTACTTCAGAACAAAACACATGAGGTCCTGAAACGTGTCGCATTTATGTAAGAATATGATAAATTATGTATATTTCATAAACTAAACACATCAGAACATATAACCCTTTCATAATCTGGAATGACCACTCGAGTCACTAGTGCCCTTTTGTTGCACTGAAGATTATCATGGGTCACAACTATGATTTGTACAAAACAACAATAGGAAAACAATAGCTCTGGTATATCCCTGGCAGCGAATACCTCCCAAACTAATTCAACTTCTGGTCGAACCTGACAGCGAACATTCAACAGAAAATGCGCAAAACATGGTGACGAAGGTGAAACCTGGTGAAACCTATCTGGAAGCATCTAGTTCAAGGGTTGATACGTAAAGACATGGCATCTAAGGCTTGCAATCAAATAGCTGAGCGGACAGTTGAATGAAATGGATTTTGTTTGAAACAAGGTAATTATTTTGGGCACATGCAAATGCATTGCATATAATTTCTGGTTGGTGGTTTCAACTCACTGGAAACACTACTGGAAACATATTAGCCAGTTGGATCAATCTTACCAAGTAAAGGTTGAACATGAAAAAAGTATTTGAAACCACCAACCAGATTAGGAGTGGCGGGTAACATCCATTGTTGGGCCCACAGCCAGAACTAAGCAGGGTTGGTCTCTGTAAGCTTTCAATGTCGGTCTCGAATTCAAGCTTTCAAGCACAGGGTTGAGCTTATTAGCCATGAGGAAGTCTGAATGGCAAAACCACTTCTTGCGAAGTCATACATATTCCGTCCGTTGCCCATATGGGCTAAGACCGTCTATGGCACCTGCCTTACCGTTTAATGGCCAAGAGTGCTGGAGAAACTCAATTGCCCTGTTAGTATATGCTAGATGCTGCCCTCGTAAACATGATGATGGTCAACACTGTCTACAAATCACCCACTGCGGCCACGATCATGCAAGCGGCGCCGCTTGCTTTCCCTTTTCTCTCCCAGCTCTCTCCCGAAAATGTGCTTCAAGGTCGACTTTGCGCCATTCCTCTTCTGCATAGAAGGTGGCCCACTGCGTTCGGGCCGCCTGGAATTCGAATCCACCAGTCTGGCAGCGGCGGCCATGCAGGCACTTGGAAATGCTCGTGGTATGCACCCCAAGGACTTCCGCTGCAATGGCCACGGAAGAATGCCTCTTCCAATCATCCTTGCTATTAATCCTTCTGCTCTCCACGGGTTTGCCATCCGGTCGCCGTCTGCTGCTTGCATTGGCTCGATAATAGTGCGCAATGTTTTCAGCTGGGGTGACATACTCGAGATTGTCAAGCGCATTGTTTCCTTTGTCAAGGTCCTTGTGATTCACCTGATTACGAGGGTTTACAGGTGGTCCTAAAAACGCAAATGCCACAAGGCGATGGACAAATTCACAACGTTTGTACAAGCTCAAAGTCAGCTTTGTCCTGTAATATCCCGCTTTCGTCTGCCACCCACTTGAACGGGTGCCATTCTTCGACCGTATTCGGCCAAGTGAGCTCACCATCCTTCCAGGTACCAGGGCACCTGACATTGGATCATACATTTGTCGCCACTGCTCTCCCACCAGAGTTGTGCTTTCTGTAGACTCAGCCAGTTGAAACTCAAAACCCTTTGCTGGCTTGCCCTGTCGGCAGGCACTTGAAACAGTTTTACGATTCATGCCAAGCTGCTTTGCCGCATCTTTCATTGAGGGTGAGGAAGTCCATCTTTGAGACCCTGCAACTCTCCACATCACCGGCTTGGAGTACTGAGGTTTGCCTGGGGGCCTCGACAGCTTTGCGGATGCATGTAGGATGTTCTGGCTAGCAGTGACATATTCCAAGTTCTCTAGCCGATTGTTGGATGGATTGCCGTCAAGGTGGTTCACCTGCCATGCCAGGCCTGTGGGCGGAGGCCCCAGGAAGGCAAAGGCCACCAAGCGATGTAGATAGAACATGTAGCCAGCGATGTGTGCTGTCCGGTAGCCCGATGGTTGTGCACTTCCCTGACTCACAACTCCCGCAAGGTTACAACACCGGCCGTATGAACTCACTTGCCAGCATTTCTCCCCTGCTGGGACTTGAAGTGTCCGGGTCGAAAAAAATCGAACAACCCATGACATTCGAAGATGCCCCGGGTACCTGCAGGTTCTGCCAGCTGAGAAGCACACCCGCATCATGGCTCACGAGAGGCACAGGATCCACTCTACTACAGACGGTACATTGATGCAAATTGTCAATCCAAAAAAGATGCCTTCTCATTTCTCTCGAACTTCATGGCTGCAGCCGAGCAACTAAAGCTGATCATGCTCCAGCTCGCTTACATCAAACCAGCGGCTAGGATTAGCGGCGAAGCATCTACGTAAATGACAGTTGACCTTAGATACGTGACATGTATTTACAGGCTTTGTTGCGGTCAATAGCTGAGTAAAACAGTTGTAGTATGTTAGGCATGTACAATGGCACTGCATACATTAGGAGTGGCGGGCAACATCAGTTGCTGAGCCCACTGTCAGAACCAATCAGGGTTGGTCCCTATCAGCTTTCAGTGGTTGGATGATGGATGTTTGTCTTGATTTCAAGTTTTAAAATCAAAAGGGTACCGGTCACAGGGTTGGCCTTATCAGCCATGACGAACTCTGAAAATGAATAATCCCGAGTATTTATTTATAAACACTCCCCAATTAAAAAACACAACGTCCGAACCCCTAAATTCGGTTTATATTTGGTTTTAAATTACCGCCCTTTCAAACCGCTACTAAACTACCAACATGGTCGATTTTGGGGGTAGTTTTTTTTAAATTAGGTTCCCCAAAACTCCACCATGACACGCCGCGCTTACACCAGCAGGCTTTCCTTCCCCCAATGGCACGGACTCACGCAAACGCACTTGCCACCGAGGTCATGCAACACCGCATGGCACAGCGACATCACCTTTCGAAAGCTTTAGCTGTTAGTCTACTGAAGAATCACTATTCTAATGAAGGTTTTTGTAGGGGAAAAGGAAGACCATTCGATCTGGAGTTTTTTTGCATTTTTGATACGAGTTTAAAAACGGATTTTATATAAAATTTTACTGGATTACTTTTTGGTTTTGAAACTCTTTCCAGGTGATCCTATTTTGGACCCCCCGATTTCAGGGACCCCCTATTAGAAAAAATGCGACCGAGTTTTTTTTTAGTAGGGGGGGGGGCGTGTTTATTAATAGGTGGACGGGATTATGGCAAACCCCTTCTTGCGGAAACATACTTAGTTTATAAGTTTCCGACTGTTGCTTGTAAGGGCTATGACCGTCTATGGCACCTGCCTCACTGTTTAATAGCCAAGAGTGCTTGAGAAGGTCAATTCCCCTGTTGGTGTTTGCTAGATTAGATGCTGCCCTTGTAAACATGATGATGGTCAACACTTTCTACAAATAACACACTGTGACCACTGACCATGCGAGCAGCGCCGCTTGCTAGTGCCTTTTTTCTCTCCGAGCTCTCTCCCGGAAGTGCGCTTCAAGGTCGACTTTGCGCCATTCCTCATCCGCATAGAAGTCGGCCCCCTTTGCTTGGAATTCGAACCCGCCAGTCTGGTAGCGAAGGCCACGCAGGCACTTGGAGATGTTCGTGGCATGCACCCCAAGCACCTCCGCCGCAAGTGCCACAGAAGAATGCCTCTGCCATTCATCATTGCTATTGATCCGTCGGCTCTCCACAGGTTTGCCATCCTGTCGCCGTCTGCTGGTCGCATTGGCTCGATTATGATGATAATGCGCCATGTTTTCAGCTGGGGTGACATACTCCAGATTGTCAAGAGAATTGTTTCCTTTGTCACAATCCTTGTGGTTCACCTGATTGCGAGGGTACACAGGTGGTCCAAAAAATGCGAATGCCACAAGGCGATGGACCAGTTCACAACGTTTGTACGAGATCAAAGTCATCTTTGTCCTGTAATATCCCGCTGTCGTCTGCCAACCACTTGAACTGGTGCCATTCTTCGCCCGTATTCGGCCAAGTGAGCTCACCATCCTTCCAGGTACCAGGGCACCTGACATTGGATCATGCATTTGTCGCCACTGTTCTCCGACCAAAGTGGTGCTTTCTGTAGACTCAGCCAGTTGAAACTCAAAACCCTTTGCTGGCTTGCCGTGTCGGCAGGCAAGTGAAACAGTTTGCCTGTGCATGCCAAGCTGCTTTGCCGCATCTTTCAATGAGGGTGAGGTGGTCCATCTTTGAGACCCTGCAACTCTCCACATCACTGGCTTGGAGTACTGAGGTTTGCCTCTGCGCCCGGACAGCTTTGCAGATGAATGTAGGATGTTCTGGCTGGGAGTGACGTATTCCAAGTTTTCTAGCCGATTGTTGGATGGATTGCCGTCAAGGTGGTTCACCTGCCATGCCAGGTCTGTGGGCGGAGGCCCCAAAAAGGCAAAGGCCACCAAGCGATGTACAGGGAACATGTAGCCAGAGATCTGTGCTCTCCGGTAGCCCGAAGGATGTGCAGTTCCCTGAGACACAACTCCCTTAAGGTTACAACACCGGCCAAACGAGCTCACTTGCCAGCACTTCTCCCCTGCTGGGACTTGAAGTTTCCGGGTCGAAAAAAATCGAACAACCCATAACAGTCGAAGACGCCCCGCGAAGCTGCAGGTGCTGCCAGCTGAGAACCACACATACATCATGGCTCACGAGAGGCACAGGATCCACTCTACTACAAACGGCACATTGTCAATCCAAAAAAGAAGCCTTTTCAGTCTCTCGAACTTCATGGCTGCAGTGGAGCAACTAAAGCCGATCACGCGTCAGCTGGCTTACATCCTTGCCTTATGCTATAGGACAAATCAAACCAGCGGCTAGGATTGGCTGCGAAGCATGTACGTGAATGACAGTTGACCTTAGATACATGTCATATGCATTTACAACCTCAATATGCCATAACACATCAACATGAGTAGACTTCGTAGACTTCATCATTAATTAACTGCAAATAAATTTCGTTGCCATCCAAATCCGGTGACAACAAACATGGATCCTATCATGATTCTGTTTGTCTTCCCACGTCCCCAGCCCTCACTCATCCAAGTGGCTTAGCACAAAGATCTCGCGGTGGAGGTCCTTTCAGCGAGGCCATTGGATTGACTCGGACTCGGTTGCCTCAACTGGTGTTGGGGCGCTCCTTGTATAGCTCCGAACGGCTCCCAGTTTGATGGGGAATATGGAGTGCTCCCTCCCCAAGAAAAAGCTAATTAGTCAATGGACAAAAACCTCCTTCACCATCCACGAAACCTGGAGGACTGGACAAAGCCTATAAGGACTGCTGCCCCGTCAGGATCAGGACTGTCCAAAAACTGGTAGGTACTGGAGTCTGTTTGTCTACATTGATATCTCTTTCACAGCAGATTTCACCCGACTTGAATGGTCGAAACGTCTGAAGTGTGGAGCTTTGACAAGAACCGGGACGCAAGGAGTTCTGATTGGCACTGGGACTCACTGACATTCGTCTGATCGCATGGGCCATGCGATCCACATGGAAGAGTTGTAAATGACAAAAAGAACAAAGCCTATATAATACAGTTTCTCAGTATCCACCCTGAAGGTCAAAATCAGCCGTATATAGCGGTAATTATGAAACATATTGAAAAATAGAAACAAGCCTGACCAAGCTATTTGCATCACAACTATACAAATACCATACAAATACCGTACCTATTTGGAGGTTGCTGAGACTGCATGGAGGTCAAGTACTCCGGAGGTGAAGCCCCCGAATCTCTCAAACCGCTCTCCCAGCGATCTCCTTTGCTTTCGCGTTGGAAGCGCTTCAGGGCGAGGTTAATGCCTGCCGACGGCTCGCTTGCACGACCAACACCCCGTCCGTTCCCCGTCTTGGGTGGGGGAAGAGTAGGGGGTCTAAGACTGAGACATGTGTGACCTGGTTACGTGGGTTCTCTTTTTTTGAATTTCACGCTTGTTGAGACCGTAGCCGCAAGCGAAGGTTACGTGGGTTCAACTCATTGAACAATTGTCTGTGCTGAGTCATTCTGATGAATCAATTCATTTACTGAGTCATTCTGGTGGTGATTCTGATGAATCGTCCCAAAACGAAACATATCTGGAACCACCGCCCAGCGATTCATTGGACTCTGGGGGGCAAACACAAAAACCATCTCTCCTCTTGGAACCGACTCGTGGCATGTTAAGACCTCTGTGGATCTCATCTTCACTACTTCGAACCTACTCTCTCCTATAGTGACTATAAGCATCCCACCTGTCTTCATGAGGATGACATGCGGTCAAAGGTTGCATTGTTCACATCTCTTCCGGGTCAAACAGTTGCAAATGGGCAGTGGACCAGAAACATGGTATTAAGTGATCACGTTTCAGGCGGAAAAAACGCGCTTATACATGAATGCGGATACAAAAGCCTGCACAAAAAAAGACACGTTGATCTGACTTCACAACCATTTCATGAAGATCCCACACACAAAAAGAACAAACAGCCAAAGGGGCTTTCTGACCCCACTTCATCCCATCCTGTCTCCCTCCCCTTTCCCATCCATCGTTCCGTTTCTCTCGCCGAGCGGCAGGCGCTCAAGGTGTCGAAGTAGGCGGTGGAGCGCGTGACCCGCAGGAAGGGCGACTCCAAGGGCTTACCTCGCAGCGCGGACCGCGCGCCGCGGAGCATGTAGGAGGGAAAAGGACCAGGCGCCCAGTCTAGCTGTGGATATGTGGGAGTCTGGGAGCTGTGGACGGGTGGGTCCTAAGACTTGGACAAATGAACTCCAAGATCGCTCAATCCAACATGTCTATCTCCCAAGATCTCACCAGAGTCTTGTTTGCTGTATCTTTTGAGAGTGAGATTCCCAGAGTCGGCAAGTCTCAGGTGGGGTGGCCCGTCACAGTCTCACGCTAGGTGATCCTATGTGACAAGAACACGAATGGGTTTGCTATGTGCATCTAGAGACTGGGTGTTTTTCAACTCTCGCCCCCCGAACAGTTTCCCTGGAAAATAACGTGTTAACCACTAGGTTCACCTTTTTGTCCACCTGTTGAGTGGGGAAACCAATTCCTACAAAGGTTGGGCAGGTAGGTTATCCACTGACTGGGCGGGACCTGTGGAAGAAAGTCTTGTTCGCTGTATCTGTTAGTGAGTGAGTTATTGGTCTCTTGCGTAGCATCTTTTGGTCAATTAGCTTTTCATGGAGACAATAGCAAGGTGATGATCCATTTAGGACATCTAGTGATCACGTTCTTTTTGGCATTATATCTGTGTGATCTGAAGTTCGAGGCCCTTTGAAGGCAAGTGGGGGCGAAAGAATCAAGGGTGTTCCCTGTTTCTCGCTGCATTCTCCGCTCCCGTGTGCAAAAAATAATCTATGTTCGCTGCAGCCTGGTGGAACTGGTTTCAGGCTGGTTGGAGTCCTTGACCCACGGCTCGATGCCCAAACAGGGCACAAACACTACGACAGCTCCACGGAGCAAGGCTCCACACAGCTCCAAGTGGCATGAGGCTTCACGGAGCAAGGCCGTGAGGTAGAAGAGCACGCGAATGTCCTCAGCACAGTTCCCACGGCTCGGAACCGATTCTTTTTAGCTTGGGCCCTGCTTGGGCCCTGGGGTTTTCAGTGGTTCTTCACTCAGAAGCTGATATCCTATGTTACCCATACGGGGTTCTTGATCCATTGTTCCACCATTTAGTTTGGGATAGTGTTGGCTTCACTGAAGACCCCAGGAGGGACGATTGATCTACATGCAGGCAGGTCTCAGTGAACTTTTCTGCACAAATTGCACATCTACAGACACTGCATAACATTTACTGTTGTAACACTCCCAAAATGCAAAACAACATACGCGCAGCCGCATCTTCACCATTGTTTTGGGCACTCTGATGCGTCCTACCGCCAGAGCAGTCTTCATGCCCACAACTCAAATGGTCACCTGGGAAAAATTAGTTAAAACAGCGATTGGTCACTGAAAGATTTTTGCTGTTTGATGACAAAGTGAGACAAGGAAACCTCTTGGCCATGTACATATGCAAGTTCAAAAAATAACGCAATCGTCATGATCTCCGACTAGGCAAATTTGTATCCAGACATCGGCGGGCTTCAGCCGAAACTTGCGGATGTCGGTATGAAATTGGCACGCTACGTGACCAACAGAAAAAACGGAGAGCCCATGTTGCAGCAGCTGCGGCGTGCTTTGCAACCTAACCAAGTCTACGTGCTGGCTGGTCAGGTGGAGGATCCTGATGCAGATGTCCACATACAAGCACACTTGGAAGCGGCTTCCAAAGAACAGATGGCAGATGTCCTCCACCGCCTGGATGAATTGGACAGCAACATTGATGTCGTCACACCCACGTTGCCTCTGGATGGCGGCCCACGAACAATGTAGAGTTGCAAAGGCATGATCATTCTCAAGTAGGCTAATTCGTAGACACCTTTAAGCCTTGAATGCTTTTAAGTTGCTGGTTTACCAGCACAGGCTTAGGGAAGATGCTGGGAGCACCTGGAAGGAAAAGGTAGCAGTATTCTAAAAGGGGTTGTCTCTGGCAGGTTCTTCTTCGTTTGGATGATATTTGTAACTTTTGACTTTGGCCATGATGTCCAGATACAAAAAGACGTACCCAGACATCATGAGAGTTCGGCAGAACTCCGCCGATCTTTTGCCAAAACCATGCGGTTCCGACGATGTCCACATACAAGTTTTTGTACCCAGACATCCGCAAGATGCATCGATCTCATCATGGACGAGAATTTCTAGAGCGCGGTTGCGCGCCCAGATGCTTCTGTTGCCCAACAGTTTTCTAGCCATGTCAGAAGTCCTGACCAGCACTTTTATCTGCTGCAGTTTTTGCGTCTGCCTTTCCATTTTTCCACAAATACTCGCAGAAGAGGATTTGCACTTTTTCAGCGCGAAGGGGCAAAATTGCATCCAGAGGCAACGTGGGTGTGACGACATCAATGTTGCTGTCCAAATCATCCAGGCGGAGCCACCTGTTCTTTGGAGCCCGTTTCCAAGTGTGCTTGTATGTGGACATCTGCATCAGGATCCTCCACCTGACCAGCCAGCACGTAGACTTGGTTAGGTTGCAAAGCACGCCGCAGCTGCTGCAACATGGGCTCTCTTTTTTTTTGTTGGTCACGTAGCGTGCCAATTTCATACCGACATCCGCAAGTTTCGGCTGAAACCCGCCGATGTCTGGATACAAATTTTCCTAGTCGGAGATCATGAAGATTGCGTTATATTTTGAACTTGCATATGTACATGGCCAAGAGGTTTCCTTGTCTCACTTTGTCATCAAAAAACAAAATATTTCAGTGACCAATCGCTGTTTTAGCATGTTTTAGCTAACTTCTCCCAATGGGTTCCAAACCCATGCTGCTTCCACATCGGACTGGTGGTCGGCACCGCGGTAGGCAAACAGTGGAAGGTTCTTGAGATTCAGGTGGCCAAGCAACACTCGAAGCTGGGATGTGCGAAGGGACCTGGTCTTGCTTCTCAAGGCCCTAGCCACATTCTTTTGAGTGTGTCCCGGGTCATTCCCACCAAGCACAGTCCAAAGCTTGGTGGACTGACATGATGTGTAGGGCCAGCTTTGGTGCACTTGTCCAGAAATGGTAGCGCAGGCAATGGACGAAGACCCAAGAATAGGTCTGTCAGTTGGACACGCAAGATATGATTGTCGTGGGCCATGCAAAGTGGTGGAATGCCCTTGTTTGCCACTGTAGCCTCCCAAATCAGACGCACTTCACGCAAAGTGCCTGCACTGCTGAGATCTGTATGCCGGCGTGGAAAAAGGTAGCAATCAAAAGCAGCCTGTCGACTGTCACATCTCTTCCTCACAATGCAGTGCAAATGGAACACAGTTTTGTTTCCGCTCCTTTGCTTATAGCGGTGTTGGCTTCTGCCGCTCGTTTGCGGATCTGATCTCTTTCACTATAGTCACTAGAGTCACTAGAGGACACAAGCCTGCCTCGTCGTGCTTGTGGAGCCGAGATGCCACCGCAACACAGATGCTGCTCTTGCGGTGAATCTCCCGAGCATTCCAAGGGACCACTGTCGCCCACTCCAGGTCCACGGCCTCCGCTGAGGGAGGCCATGAGTAGGCGCCCTGCATCGTCTTTAACCTTCTTTTCGAATCAACACTTCCCAGCCTCCTCGCACGTAGGCCCAGGCCTGCTCCCGGGCGCCTTTCCAAGCGCTTTGCGCCGGCCACGCTTGCGCCCGTCGATGCCGGACGCAACACCCTGAGTGGGAGAGCTCAAAGCAGTGTGAGAGTGAGAGTGAGAGTGGGTGTGAGTGTGAATGTGCTTGCGAGTGAAAGATAGTGAGAGTGTGAGAAGGAGTGAGTGTGAGTTGGAATCTGTGTGTGTGAGAGATAGTGAAGTGAGTGTGAGTGTGCGTGAGAAAGTGAGTGTGAGTGTGAGTATGAAAGTGAGAGTGAGAGTGAGAGTGAGGGCGAGTGAGTGAGTGTGAGTGTGAGGAGTGTGAGCGTGTGTGAGTGTGAGTGTGAGTGTGAGTGAGAGCGAGAGGTGGGAATCTTAGAGCACAAAGTGCTACGCCTGCCACGAAATCCGCACTTGGAGGTTCGCAGAGCGTTGTGCCTGCCACGATATCTGTACTTTGAGGTTCACAAAGTGCTGTGCCTGCCACGAAATCTGCACATCGAGGTTCACAAAGTGCTGCGCCTGCCACGAAACCCGCACATCGAGGTTCACCAAGTGCTGCGCCTGCCACGAAATTCTGCACTTCGAGAGCATCGAGGTGCACAAAGTGCTGTGCCTGCCACGAAGTCTGCACTTCGAGGTTCACAAACTGCTGCGCCTGCCAGGAAATCTGCACTTCGAGGTTCACAAAGCGCTGTGCCTGCCACGAAACCTGCAAATGAGCCACATGGCCAAAAGTCACGATTCACTGCACATGGCCAAAAGTAGATAGAATTGATTCTTACAAGAATACTTGATGACTAAAGATTATCCAAAAATGGTACAATGCGATTATAATCGGGTAAACAGCGCAAAGCGCTTGGAAGCCGTGCTGTTTCGCCGTTGCGGCGCCTTTGCGGAGCTTTGCAATTAAAAAGGCGTTGCTTTACGATGTTCTACACTCCATCGGTCGAACCTGTTCGCATTTTTCCTCAGAAGTGTTTTGAACGTTTCCCAACGCCTGTTTCATTTTCTTGCGGAAGGGAAAAAGGTTGCGAACACTTCTTGATGGTCCAAATTCGGGCTTTGATGGAAATCCGCCACTTGGAAAACTTAACACCTGTCACGAAATCAGAGCGCCTCGACGGTCACCACCATGTCCAAAGTGCTGCACCTGCCACGAAATCTGCATTTCGAAGTAAAACTGCCCCGATCCCTTCCACCTGTCACGAAAAGTCGACTTTGGACCACCAAAGCAGAGGGTTTCCCTCGCACCTGCCACGAAAAGTGGCCACCATGTGCGAAAATGCGCACAGCACCACAATGAGAGCGCAGTCATCAGAAGCACCCGCCGTGGACACCCAGATTCTGCGAGCCTGCGCAGTCGAAATGCACGTCGACGATTTCGCGAGGCATGAATGTACTGTAAATAGCAGCGAATTAGCCGTCCACGCCCGCGCGCCCCAGCGATCTAAGCACAGCTGCTTAACACCTACCGCAAGAACCCCTAAGTGTGTCCACACTGTTTGGGTAAAAAAGCACTCCGAGGATCTCCGACGTCACCTGTTCGCTCTGATCCAAGTATCAGAGGCCAAGAGGTCCGCCAAATAGGTGGAGCCAGGCTTCCTCGGACGAGAGGTGGGGGAATTGCTTGGCATCACGGAATGTCTAGAGATCTCCCATCATCTGCCTGTAGATTTTGAAGATAGAGTAGGATATTGAGATAAAGAAACGAAACAAGCGTGAGGCACATATACTGATGTTCGAAAGAACGTCCAGTGGTGGCAAGTCGCCTACAAACCAAGGGTTCAGGATGGTTCAAATGTTTCTTGACGCTCATCATTATACAACACCTAGCTAAGGCTAAGGGGGCAAAGGGTCTAGCATCCTGGTCCACATGAAGATGTCTCCTACTTGGAAGGTCTTTAGCCGATGATCCATCCTTCCCAAAGATCCAAGGGTCGGGTGGGAAGCATTCTAGTCCTGCTCACAGCTGCATTTTCAGCCCAAGGAGACCTAGGGAGACCTCCTAGCTAGGAGTGTCAATCCATGTCTGGCTGAGTTCCGCAAGGGCTTCGGAAATGCGCCACGGGGCGTTCTGCGGAAGAAGTCTTCTAAGTGATATGTCACTTTGAGCGGATTGTATTTCTAGTGCAAAATGAATCTTCAGCTGATACGCAACATGACTTGTGACGGATGTTGACGGCATTCCTGCACCGATCTGCAGCATGAAAGCAAGATAATCTGGCCCAAAAGCTAACATGAGCCCTGAGAATGGGTGCCCTGAAAGACTGTGTTCCTCTAGCTGCACCAGTGGTTTTCAGGGTCCATGTAGCAAGGAATTTCTGAATATGGTTCGTGTTGCAAGGTAGCATATAGAAGAAATCTTCACCCCAGGCGTCAGCTCTTGCTTGACATTCACTCTGTTGGCTTCCAGGTATGCCAAGACATGCCCAGACATAAGGCATCACAAGGCCACAATGGGTGTGTATTAAGATAGTGAGACCTCCCAGGCAACGACCCCCTGGTTCATTGGGAACATAGACAACAACTCATTGGACCAGAGTCTCCCGACAAAAACACCCAAATGAGACGCATTGGACTGAGTTTTGGCACCCGAAACGCATCGCCCATCAACCGGTGTCCGCCAACAGAGGGGCCAATTGCTGTGGATTGGTCAGGTGTGGTGGATGCAGAGTCCAGTGAATATCGGTGAAGAGGCCGAGGGGTCTCGACCCTCGGATCTTCGGTGGATCTTCGGTGGTGCTCTCTTAGATTTCTGGCCGGAAAACCCTCACGTCCCAAAACGCCCCACCTGCGGCGCCCCTCCGCAACTTTGGCCGCTCCAAGCGTCTGTTCTCCGGTCTGATCGGTGCCACCCAAGAGGAGAAGCGCTTGGACTTTGTCCAGGACCTGAAACTGTTCTGGCAGAGAAGATGGCGAAAGATGCCAGAGGTGAAGGACTGCTTGGGGTCCAAGAATGGTGTCTAACAGGTATGGTGGAGACATGTGGAGACTTCCAAGAACTGGGCTGATGAGTTATTTTGGATTGATCCTCTCTCCAAGCAAGTTTCAAAAGACAAAGCGATTGAAACCATCAACTACCAGCACCATTCAAAGGGTCGTTTATAGACACCCCTGACCCCTGACTGTGTATTTTCCATCCACTAGCCACCCGAAATGGGTGGTGCTGGTAGAAGCTTGGTCTTCTTCTCTGACTATACAACAAGCCTTTGTGTCTTGATGTGTCTTGAGTCACATCACCCTCACACCCTAAAGGCAACTTCGCCCCAAAAAAGACCTCTAAACTATACGGATGTTGCATAACTGTGCCATAAACGAACATTCGCATTCGATGCCATTCGATGCCATGTTAGCATGAATTTTGCCATTCGATGCCATTCGCATTGCTGGTGTGCAAATACTCATGATTTGTCCTTTTTCTTCCCCCCCGCCCCTTTCGGGTACCCCACCGTGGTACCCCTCGGCACCTGCATCAAGCCTTCCACCGCCGGCTTCACATCTGCATCCGTGAAGCCTCTGCCGGGCGTCGAGTCACGCCATCCTAAAGGTGTCATAGAGACTTAGTGACTCAGCAAAGCTCTCAACAACCTTCGGAACACCACTTCCTTTCCAGTACGCTGCCTGCTCTTAATAGGTCGTTTGTAGAAAGCACGCACTAGAAGGTTCCCAGGAATAGTAGTGGGTATAGTTGGTTCAGAAAGAACTTGGGCAAGTTCTCCGGCATCATCTGAGATACCTTGCTGATATGCACTCAAAACACTCCTAGAGATGAACCTTGGCTCACCTTCCAAATCCGAAAAACAACAAAGATCCTAATATCCAATCAATCAACATAGAATTAGTGCACAACATTGCAATATATTGCAATGATCAACATGTGAGCACCTCCATGAACATGGATATTCCCATCATTCAGACTCAGTGTGGGATCTTCTCACAAGTCAGTATTTGACAAGCTCCAACCAGGCACCCAGCTCCAACGATTTCCTAACGGCATGCAGCCAACTGATGAGAAGTGGCCCCAAAATCCGTCCCTTGAAGCCTCTGCCTCCCTCACAGGTACCAAACTGTTCTTTGGTGTAAGCCTCCCCTCAAATCCCCCGCACTCGGGGAGCTGCTGGCTCCAGCCCTCCCCGCGATCGCCTCCGTTGGCCTTTTCCTTGGCCTCTTCCGGGTCCTGTGGGGCGGCGGGAAGAAGAAACAACGAGCAATCCGTTTGTTCCCTCGGAGTTTGGGGGAACCGGGTGGAACCGGGTGGAACCGGGTGGAACCGGGTAGTTGCTCTTCACCATGCTATCGCAAATAATTCATCCAGTTGACTTGGGCCTCTGGGATCTGGTTCTCTGTTTGGGGCATGGTCAAAGAACAAAATTTGCCAATCTTCGAGGAAGCGACATGCTCTCCAGTCTTCGTCATGGGCGGAACAAGTTCTTGGTGTGATAAGCTTGCCCGGGGAGTCAAAGCGCTGTGTGGGTCACTTTAGTTGAACGAGTAGACACTCTGACACTCCACTGGATGACAAGACTAACAACATTTTGTGTGGAAACCATCACTGCATTTTTGTTTAAGCGAACAATTTACCTTTCGACACATCTGATCCACTTCGCGCAAGTGTTCTCTTTTGTTTAAAGTTTATACCGTACCAAATGATGAGGGATGAAAAACACATTGATAAGGATCCATTAAAACACACACATGATCCTTTAAGAAGATCAACGAAAAGATTGATAAACATCAACAAACATCTTCCTGCATCTGGCTGGTATTTTCACAGCACTTTTGGAGCACCCAATGATTTAATTGATGCCCTTCCCAGACTCCCGCCTTCGAGTAGGCATGAGGTGGTCGCCCATGGCGGAACATCGAGCACAACAGCACCTCGTCGTGGCGCGTCGCGTCTTCGGGGCTCAGGTGGCGACTTCGCCGCGTTTGCCGGGCGAAGGACGTCGAAGCTTTTCCTGTTAACTTCAAGTGAACCAACTCAAGTTTACTTGAATGCTAATTACCAGCTCAGAAAGCTATAGTTTCTAGCTGACACTTAACATCTCCATGACATGTCCATCCCTTGATTCCTTAGGAGCTTCCTGGAAAAAGTCAAGGTCCAAAAAACAACAAGGATTCTTCGCATGAGTCATTGCAAGCCTGCAGGGAGTCAAACATCCACTCGTTAAAACAAAAACAACAAAAACTCAAAGGATCCTCGACCTCCGGGATAGAGGATGGCCTCCCCCCCAGGTACCGTCCTAATCCTCATGAGCTGGCCCCTAGCTGGCGCCGAAAGGAGATGTCTCCAAATGACAGGCACAAAGAGTTGCAACTCATGCAGGGTGTAGGGCTTCATTCGTTGATTTGACTGATTTTTGGTCGTGGTCTCTTCATTGGTATTTGGGAATGATCAACTGACTTCACCGCATAAACCCGCAAAGAGCCATTGACATACAAAAGTGGATAGTGATCGTTAGTAGGGCCCAAACCAAGTATAAGAATGTGAAAAGCTATACAACACACAATTGCTAACCTGGCGGCTCATGATCTCCAAAGGGTTAAAACCAATTATTACATAAAATCATCCATTCAACTTCCACCCAAGTTCCACCAGCAAATGTAAAAAATAGACTAAAACAACAGTACGACGACAACACCTTATTGGTGCACTTTGCCTGTGGCCAGCCGACGATGACCCATCCATTCAATGGAATGACACATCGACTCCAGTGGAAAGCTGAAAACTAATCTGAAGAATCCTGGCATCGGTGGCACATGAAGAAGGGCCACCAGCTTGTTCATCAATTCGGCCGCGGTGGCTTCTAGTTTGTTGCCCTCCTCGCCGGTCAAGGCACAAAGCAAAGTGGAGTCAAACGGGTCCAGAACAAAAAGAGGCAGACATCAGGATGAATGGCCCTCAAACTGAAGAGAAAATCACGATCCAACAGGTACAAACATAGGAGAGGAATGCGGTCATGTCTTGAAGAAACTGAAACTGACAGCAACTTCTTACTTTCCCTGTGTCTTCTAGGAGTTCCCAATCTTTCAAACATGTCTTCATCACAAAAAACAAGAGGACCAGCCGTTCTGGTCCGGATGGCATCACCCATGTCTGAAGATCCTCGGTCTATCATCCCATTTTTTCCATGAGTTTCTCCATCATCCAGAAGTGATGGGCGCCCTTGGGCCGCCGTTGCGCCCCATCCGACCCGACCATGCCGGCCCCCAGCGGATTGAGTTGACACTGGTCGAACTGCTGCGCCCGCGCCCGCCCACTCCGCCCCCCCCCGTCTCTCCAGTTTGTCAAAGTCGGCGACGGCCTCCTCGAAGGAGTCCCTCAAAGGCAGGGCTGGGTGCGACCGGCTCAGTCGGAAAGGAAGGCGAGGTGGAACAAGTACCCATCACTGGACTGATATACCAAGCAGGTGGTTAAGTTGGCACTACATCCCAATAAGGTCTGACTTTAAATAGTCAAACCCGGCCCCCCCTCCTAGCAAACAATCGAGGCTGAATAGAGTCAAGCCCACCAAAACTACTTAGGCCAGTCGTCATAGTAGAAGTAGAAGAAGAAGTAGAAGTAGAAGTAGAAGAAGTAGTAGTGGTAGTGGTAGTGGTAGTGGTAGTGGTAGTAGTTGTAGTTGTAGTAGTTGTTGTTGTGGTAGTGCTAGTGGTAGTGGTAGTGGTAGTCGTAGTCATGGGCGGGGTTTAGAGTTCCAGGATTCACACAACTCAGAAGAGGCTATGCAGCTATGCAAGACTATGCAAGGATTTTAAAGTTGTTGTGAGGTCCACTATACAAATGACTCATCCCTTTCATTTCACCAACAAAAAATTGAAAGAACTTGGTTCAATCGTGTGGATGGCACTGGATTCTGTGAAGCTTTGAGGCTCCGGAAAAAAATACCGCGGGTCGATGAGCCATGTGTTTTTGAGGTTGGCAGGTCAATGAAACAGAATGAATACATCTGAATGCATCTCAATGCTAAATATAACTTGGCCACAGTGGAACAAACATTTCTACAACAAACTGTTGCAGTTCTCAATGAAGAATCTGCAATACTCATGGACTCATGGTGCAAGAAACATCATGAACACGGATGGCCATGAATTTCCAACTGTGGCAGGTTGCCAGATTTCCTTACATGAACTCTCTCATTCACCACCATCTGGAAGGGTACAACCAGCATAGAACCACGAACATCCCTGCACACGCGCATCTGCACGCGCACTCCCTGCGCGGATGTTGGCCATCCCAAGGGGCTGAAGATCTTTCAGCATGCCCAGCAAGTCCAACCTCCATCCACGGCGAGTTGGAACAATGGAGAGAAAAACACGATGCATGGAAGTGGAAAATGGCAAGACCTGGTGGGATATGCAAATCACACTTCTGGAACAATCATGGTATAACACCAAGCAGGTGGTGAACTCCACTTCTATGATGATTTCAGGGAGTCTAATACTCTTAAGTGCCCAACTCGAAATAGATGAAGAGTTTGAATACCCAGCTTGTGCAGCTTGATTGCCCAGGTTACTGCCACTTGCACCAAAAAGCTTAGCTTGAACCAAAGATAGATCTATCCTGTGAATGTCTTCTGTGTGTGTTACTGCGCTATCCGAAAATGATTCCAAACAGTCTGGCTTCTTCCAGTTGGTCGATTGTCTTTAGGAGATTGTTTAGTGGTATGGTATGGGTTAATCTGACGGAAAGAGTTTTCTGAGACCACTGCCCCAAAAACTTACATCACAAAGGTCATTGAAGGCATCCTCCACACAACCAGGGACATGAATACACTGGATCTGCGCTGATTCCATGGGCCAACTGATATGACTGGGTGCTTCCTGACATCAAATCTGGCTATTAGCCCAATGCCTACGTTCCACCACTCTTTCTGACCATTTCTGACCTGTCCAATGCAAGGGTAGCCTGGGAGCTTTCAAACCCCCTTGTCCGTTTCGATTCAAGAGGTATTCAAGAGTCTTCAGTCTTCCGCGTTACTTCCATCGTCCATCAACCAAGTGGCTGTTCGTAGGCGCCATGGCAACAGGTGCGCGACACCGAGACAGCCTCGTTCGCGGCGCCGTCGCCGTCGCCGTTTTCCGCAGGAGCGTCGTGAACGCCGTCTGAACGCCGTGCGTCCGCCCCTAAGAAAGGATGGTCTTCGTAAAACCCTTTGATGGTATAGCAAATCCTGATGAAGACATGGCAACAGAGGCCTTTGTGCTCATAGCATGGCTATAACCAAGGGAGAATCCTTTGCTGGTTGCTGGTTGGCCGATGGGGGTGATGTAAACAAAGGAGTCGAGTGCAGCCCTCTACGAAGAAGTCTCTTCTGGAGGGCTTTGTTGACGCCTTAAGGCTCCAACCACATCCTCAGAAGGTGGTTGGGGTGGGTGCCAGGGTGTCTAACTACTTCCTGAGGATGTGGTTGGAGCCCTAGGGGACCTAAATGTTGTAAATCATGACCTACAGAACACAACCTAAGCTAGGTTGCAAAACATAACCCCTCTTGTCACTGTGGTCGACTTGGGAACCATCGAATTGAATGTTCATGCTTCTATAACATGTGGTAAGTGTTGTGGTCAAACTCACCACTACTCACCAGAGGTGTACACTCCTGTCTACGTCTCAATAGCTGCTAAAAGGCAAGCAAAGGAACATCAGCGTTCTAGAGGCTCATGTGTTTCAGTGCCTCGTTGTCGTATCCGGAGAACGGTACCCTTATTTCATCAAGCATGTTTCCTGTACATGAGAATCTCACTTGTCAAAAGAACTCTTAAAAAAAATAAACAAGAATAACTCCACTAATCCATGTCTAGATTTAGACTATGTCATTAGTCTAGGCTTGCTGCCCAAAAGGACTTAACAAAAGAGAAAACTGCAATCACCGGGGATCTTACTTCTTGTCGATTTTGCCCATGGTACGTCAAACCTGCTCACTGAAGCTTCCCAACATCCGAAGTTTCCCAAGATCAAAAAGGAAACCTTCGACATTCTTCGACCCCGCAGCATGGTCTTTCCACGGCCGGTTCGAGCGTGCAGAGTCCTGTTCCGCAGCCGGCCTCGCACAGGATCGTGCGGGAGAAATGCTCCACCAGCGGCGCGAGCGCGGGGTGCGCTGCCAACGACTCCTGGTCGGTGCTGCCAGCTGGTCGGGGGGATCAGGAGTTGGAATCTAAAGAATAATCCACTTGTCGCCATTGTCTGTATCCATATATCTTCGGTTTAAAAAAGCATTAACAGCTTGGGGTTCAACGCGTCTGTTCAGAAATTGGTCCACAAGAGTTCCCCAACAAAGTGCTGGACCAGCAAGCTCTTTACTCATCACTTGTCAATGTTTGCCCAGCTAGGTTTTGAGAAGATGGATGATTCACATGGTTCCACCTTCGAGGATTCAATTCGTTGGTGGCCGCACCCAAGGAATGGACACTCAATGGCAGGACCTTCATCTGATTATAGGAAAGTGTTCAGTGCGGTCACAAACCTCTGAAGGCCGCAAAGCGACATCGGTCACAAATCAAACATCGAAGCCACAACATGAACAGCCTATAACGGCGGAAAGACTTCCCTTCCGCCCGCCCTCGCCACGCCGCGGATCCGGCGTCCGCCGCGCCTTCACTTCTTGGATCAAGCGCCGTCGCACCGCGGCCTGGAGAGCCGTGCGTCACACCATCGAACCGCGGGCGCTTCGGACCGGCAGGAGTCGGTTGGAGCATGAGGATTGGCGCAACGCGTTGACCCCGAAGCCGAACTGGAGAGCCAAGGACCCCAAAGAACTGGAACTGGAGATCATCTCCAGAGCTCAAAAGCATCGCAAAGGTTGATCATGGTTTGAATTGAATCTGGGACCCTCCAACAGAGATCAGTCTTCAAACTGACTATAACGAGTATACACGAATGTCTTTCAGGCGGTTTGCTGGAGCAGGAAACCACTTCCACCGGTCCACGGCCGCACTCCGTGGCGCTCGGTCCGCGTCGTCACCGGTGGCCTTCTCGGCCTTTTCGGAGCGGCCGAGGCTGAGGCAGGAGGACACGGCCATGATGTACCTGAGACGGCTAGAAGACGGTGGAGGGTCGGAGGAGGCCGGTAAGGGACGATGGGCCATGGCAGGCCATGGTGGTCGATCTCATTTTGGTGGGAAGGTGCTTGGCATGACAGTCATGAATGTACAATAACGTTTGATTCTGCATTATATCTTAAGCTGTTCAAAAGAAAGTCCAGGAGGACCCAACAAAAGCAAAAAAAGGCCTGTCTTTACTTCGACTGGGAAACCTCAAGTTTCACTTCCCACTTCCATGACTGACTCTTGGGATGTACACTTCCTGAAATCATCATCGTCACGTGGATAGCATGGCCCGGTTTTTACCGCAAACGCCCGAGGTGGATAAGTCCAACCCATCATTCTGTCCGGGAACCTGCGCGACCCAAAAATCTTCTACCAAACCCCACTGAAACCCAGATTCTGCGCTCCACACCAGTACACCAGCCATTATACCCAGCCCATTTTTGTGGACGTGTCAAAGATCGTTCCAAAGCCAAACAAAACACAAATATAAAAACACCACTCCACCTCAAACCCATGTTTCTTCCCTCATCCCAATTCATTTTCCGAGGTGCTGAAGACACGCGACGCCTTCGACGCCAAAGTCGTTCCTGGTCACCGGCGGACGAACAGCACTGCCGGTACAGTGGGAACGTGGCCGCCATGGACGCATAGCTGCATCACTTGCCCCTAGGGCTCCAGTTGTACCTCCTCAAATGGTATGACTGGACTGGACTCTTCAAACCAACCCCCAAACATCTTCAGGTAGGTTGTAGGTACCCAACTGCAATGCCTAGGATGGGCTGTGCCACTCCTGGACTTTGTTTTGCGTCCCACTATTTTTCTTGCGGTATACCTAAGTTGGCGAAGATCCATGGCATAGGTGCCGTTTGACTTTCAAGAAAGAACAAGCCTCAAAGTGCACTCACAGGCATCCATATGAACATAGCATGTTCCACATCGAGAACAAAGTAGGAGCAGTGGGCTTCGTAAATGGCAGACCTTATACTGATTGCCATCGTTCAAATTCAAGGTGAATCCTCACATTCCAACTGGGAGCATATTATTTCATCAAGCCACGTACAAAACTGAAAGCCACCCTTGATGAATTAAATCAATGGGAAGCTCATTTGGGATCCCCATCATTTGATGCATCACCGAATCCTAAATTCGAGCCATGACCTTCAAGGCGACTGTTGAGATCCCTTGCGACAAAGTCACTGTGCATCTTGAATAGTTCACTTAGACTTAGACTTACAGAGCTCGACCAGGTGATCTTGGTGGAGGCTCTCTTTGGCTACAAACATGTGAGATGCAAGCGAGCAGTTCTGTGCCGAAATTGATCAGGCAAAGATGTTCCTCCGGGTTTACCAAGATCGAACTCCGCGCAAACCCACCCCATGCCCATGGAAAACAAGACCGCGTGGCAGCGACTTCGCCGCCGCCGGCCGTGAACGCCCACGAAAAAGTCCCTGCCATGACCACTACTGTAAGAACCACTAGCCATAGTGTGACCACACTGTTAGAAAAACTAAAACACTGGTGCCACCTCTCCAGTCTGTCTCTCTCTCTCTCTCTCTCTCTCTCCGGTTGGTTGACTCCAAGTCGCATGCACTCAGGCGCCACGAAGGAGCATCGACTCAACGCCCTCAGGGCCATCAAGCGCGCCGCCAAGGTCTCAGCCCTGGGCGAGTGAGCTGAGAAGTTGGTGTGTCGAGTCAGCTTTCAGGGTCCCGTGAAGAACTACATGCAAATCATGGAGCAATGCTATTCTGATGGCTCATCTTCAGCATTTTTGGAGGGTGTTTGGAAGATATAAACATCACATTTTTTGTATATCTCCTGTTTCTGGAATATGCTCTGGGCCCCATCTGATGCTACTGCGACCGAAGAGGCTCCATGTCCCCCACCAGGTAACCGGACTGGCTCTGAAGTGATGTAGACATATGTGTAGACTCTTCATAAATCACACATAGTAAAACGATGGGCAAAGGGGGGGGGCATGAGGAGGTGCCTTTTTGGGGCAGATGTAGACTCTTGATGGTTATAACCCAAGAAACATATGTCCATGGATTCATCTCTGAAAAGGCTTGCGAGGTGATATTAGACCTAATCCTTGGAATCTGTTGGGCATGTACCTTGTCATGAGGCCCCAGCCTTGCTTCCTTCATCATACCACCCATGGGCCCTGCATGGAGAGCAATCCGTATGGAGTGCAATTCGTGCAAATGTTCCCGCCTGGAAGGCAGAACGCAAAGCAGCCTGAAGAGTTGTTCCTGGCGAGTGCCACAAGCCACGCTGTCCAAGGAACACCAGCCAAAGCACCAGCGAAGCAAACACTATTGTGCAGTGGCTGCTTGATATGGAACTATACAGGTGTGGTATGGTATGGTATACGGCTAGTATACAGTATGCGTTTGGTACATGATTTGCTTGCGGTAACACAGCTAACATGGCCAGAGCGAGCGTTCTTTTTTGGTGGACTCCGTAAGACTATCACCAGTGGAACAGGGAGGTTCCAGGATACTAATTACCCCTCTTTTGCTTCCCAGAATGCGGGAGATTGTTTCTTTTGCAGTCTCTTCCAAAGACTCTTTGCCCTTGGAAGCCTTTGCCTTTGCCTTTCCAGCTGGAAGGAAAGCAAAACTGCAACTTCCACTATTCTGTTGCAGAAGCACCACTGATTCCTTATCGCCGCATCATTAAATCGGTTTAGGCAGGCACCCAAGAACTGCTTTGCCAAGAAAACTATCGAGAAGACCAAGGACCAAGAACCCATCAAATGGAACCGGAAACAAGCTTTTTGCTGATCATCGTAGATAGTTTTGCGGAGACACTACCTAATTGCGTTTGCAAACTGGGACATCTCTGCAGCATCTATTAAGAGGACGTCGCACCCCCCTAAATGATGGATTCTCCACAATCTATTTCGAAGATTCCACATGGTCCCCCTGGGTTCACGTGATGGCCCCCGTGCGGAAATAGAAATTGACTTCCCTCACTGGGCACACTGAACTATTGGGTATGCGTAGTTGATCCCATGCAAACAACATCCGTTGAAGCTCCTATTCATCCTAGTACCACATTGTGAAGCTTACGGTACAGGAGAATATATATATATATATCATAGGTGTCAACGATCCTTCCCAAAGTGAACCTGCAGAAACCCCCTAGATACCCCCGTGTATCCTTCCACAACCATGCGACCATGCGCATATCTAGCCGCCTGAGCAATCTTGGCCAGCTCAGGGTGGCAACAACTGCGATCGAGGATGCACACCAAGTACTCCACTTCATCCTGGACGGCAGCCAAGGCCCCAGATCCGAGTGAGAGCAGTCTGGGGCTACCACCGTCGGACTAGGACCAAACAAGTGAGATGGGTCTGGCACAGTTGGGTCACTGCATGCTCTCCACCCTGAATCCTTGAGGGTTTCCAAGTCGTTGTTTCTAAGACATACAATGACTGCCAAAAGAACTGACTGGTGCAATGTGTAAGGAATGAGGGTGGCTGGTGGCGAAACTCCCAAGGAATCTAGGATAGGGGACGAAACTTCTTTCATTCCCTGCTTTCGTCGCAACGGTCGGAAAAAGCAAAAGGAAGTTTCGGAGTCTAGAAAATAGAACGTGTAAAGTTGCTCCTCTAAAGTTATTCAAGAAAGTTCAACAGCTTGGTGAAGGGAAATGTTAGACATATGTCATCTTCATTCCGGGGTAGGTACCTATCCTATCTCATCCTATATCCCTTTATTCATTTAGTATCCCTTTCTGTTCAGAAACCAAAGCACCACGTTAACTGTTAACTACCGTCCACACCTGCATTCAGCTCACCTTTAAAATCAAACGGTAGATCTAAGGCCTTGAGGTCGTGAACGCAATGCTCACAGATCGGTGGTTCATGTCGGGTCTCGTTTCTGTATTGGAATTAATATATATGGATTGAAGGAATATGTGGGAATATGCGGGAATGTATTATTGTATGGATGTACGACTGACCCTGATATACCCCATGGGCCATCTTTGGCCCATAGATGTTCTCGGCGCTCACTTCTCCTTTACTTGGATCCACCCTGCAACCGAACCCCAAGACACCGTCCCGTCACATGCACCGTCCGACGCCTTCACGGGGGGCGCTTCGCCCACGGTGCCCAGCTTCTTCTCCATGCGCCGCAGCACGCCCAGGAACCTCCGGTGAAATGGACCGAATCGATGGTTGGTTCATGGTCTGGGGTGGATTGGAGTGTTGTTGCGGCCCTGGAAACAACTTCCATTGGAACAACTTCTGGATTGGAGTGTTGTTGATTCATCATGGAAGTGGAACAAAAAGGCCCGGCCCTGCAAAATCCACTGCCATGCTGATTCCTGTTCGAGCTTTTTGATGCTTCTGGGAAAATAGGTTGACAATAGGGATTCAACTTGCGGAATGTAATTTTGGAAGGATTCCAAATCGCCGTGAGTAGACTTCTGGGATCCGTGCACGTTTTGGACATTTTTGGACACATCATCTTTTCTCTTAGGGACAGTTGCATCTTTGATCAGAAAATTTGGCCCTAAAAAGATGGGATATCGACAGGGTGGTGCAGGGTGTCAAACCCATCAACACAATATTTCTTTGTACAAATGCTTGATCACGCAATCAATACCATCCTTTCGTGGGTCTATATGTCTATGCGCTCTGGACTCTGACCCGAGGAATTCCGTTGGTGAGTTTCAACTCCTCCTGGTCGCTAGAACAATGTTAGTTAGGACTCGACCATAGAATTACAAGTGACCAAGTGAAACTCGCACATGTCCTCAGGCGTGTTCAGTGTTATTTTCATGGGAAGACTGATGCCATGTACCCAGCTTTGGTCCCTCCATATACAGTAATATACAGTAGGCACACCACGCGTCACACGACTACCCAAAGATCCCTGATAGACTTCCAGAAGAACAGTCGTTTGCTTCTTATAGGTTACTGAATACTCAGCTAGGCTGTGGTCACAGTTGGGTCGAACTTTCTTTGTCCGTTAAAGGACCTTTGTAATGGACAAATGGCTCTGCCCACATGAAGTTCCTGTCCTTCAGACATGCAGAAATTCTACCGGGATAGAGTATGGAATTTGCATCTACTCAAGAAGAGTAATGATTTCTTGCCCATCCGAATGAGATCATGATTGAGATCATGTACCTTCCCAAACATTTTTCACAAGGATTTGCCCATCCAACCATCCCGGTTGAGACATGTTGACCATCTTCATCCCTGAAATTCTCTGCATTCCCGTGGACAAATGTAGTTCCAAACCTCTAATTACTTGGCTAGGACTAGGAATTTTCGGGAGCCTGCAACTAGGGGATGCTAGGAGTTTTCAACACCACTAGTTCCCTACCGGAGACTCTGGGGCTTGGCAGTCTCTCGCACATTTGCTGAGTGGAGACTGGAACCCAACTGATCAAAGTGTCAGTTTTACCCATAGGTTGCTGGATGTTGCTGGTACTACACGACGAACACATGGAATTGCGGCCACCTGGTCTGGTGGTGAATCAAGAACTTCCTATACTCACTCGATCCGATACATCCGCAGTTTTGTGTCGAGATAAGGAGTCTGTCTGTCAGAGTGTTGGTAATGCACCACACAACAGAACCATCACACAAAAATATACAAATGCCTTTCCTAGCTCATGCAACACCTCAACTCACCGTTTGTTTATATAATGATGTCTTTTGCCTTATGTCATGTTGATTTCATCCCCCAAACAAACCGGCGTTCTCCATCGGGGTCGAAACGCCCTCGAGCAACCTCCCGAGCGGCGGGCAAAGCACAAACACCGTGACCCACCCGATGAGGTTCCGCACTTCTCGCTCTTCATTAAGACCTGACAGCTCGCCTGGCCGAGCTGAACGTTGGCACCATGGAGCCGCCCTGGAGCCCTAATTTGTCAGATATTCGTCGGGGGATTGGTGGAATGGAGGCGCCGTTATGCTGATAGAATCAAACTCATGAAGAGCTAAGAAGAGTCCATCAACTAACAAGCGTCAGGAAAAAACAAACCCACAAAACCTACAAACTCTCGGCCTCCCCACGGATTTACCGGCACCCCCGGTTCTCCATTGGTTTTTTGTTCGGATCAGTCGTCACCGGTCCGTTGTGGGCCTCCCACCGCGGCTCCCGTCCTTTTAAGCACTCTAAGCATGGTGGATACACTGAGAAGCGCAGAAAAACGAGCGGTACCTGAGCATCCAACCAATTGAGCCATGGTTACTATCCTCGTTTACTGCTGGGAGCAAGTGCTCCGCAACAGCTTCGTGTCCAAACCACACTTGTCAAGTGCTTCCTTGTTAGCACCAGCCTGGAGCAACTGTTCCACCACATTCT